GTTGTTATTGTAATATATCCTTTTTAGAATCAGGAGTCGATATATAGTATAACATCATGAAAGACATTTTTCAACTAACACTGCAAAAGCAACATCTAAACATGGAATACACCAAAAACATGGGAAAGGGATGGAAATAGAAGGGTAATTTCCACAATTATTTGGACCTTGAAAGAAGGTTCTATGAGAATTTAAGCTTTCCTCCCATAAATATGTCAATGCACCTATTTTAACCATAGATTAGTTGATGTTACTAATAGCCTATATAAAGCTACTAAGCCAAAATGATGCAGCCAAATGTATCAACAGCCAACACATAACAGGATATAACTTGAACAAGAAAGGTTAAGTACGATAAGGATGGAAACTAATGCCAAAGTGCAGAAATTAATAAACTGAAATGCAACATCTCTTATTCTTGTTAGACTTTGATAGCAGTGGTTACCTTCTAAGTGAGATCCTCCAGATACATATGCAGCAGGATTGTTTCTGCATCTAAAGATTTCCATTAGCTCCAAACCTATTTTTAGCTTGTAGATTTAACCTAATGACTTAATTTCAAACGTTTGACAATATGCAGTTGCTTAATGCAATGTATAGGGGGATTTCTTAACTTGAAATCTCAATCCAGCTCATTCCTGCCTCTTTTGTGCCCAGTTTCTTACCAGCATTCCTCACTTTGCTTAAACTATCCCACATTTCCAATTCAGCATAACGTTTGAAAGCATCACATATATGAAGGGTCTTCTGGTGATGCTGCAATTAGTTGTTCACAACAACACCAACCAGTTCAATATTCTTGTAAATTCCACAGGCCTTGAGCATGGAGCTCCAAATTGTTTTGTCAGGCTCAAATGGCATGTCAGCAATCAGTTTCCTTGCCTCTTGGAGGCATCCAGCTTGACCAAGAAGATCAACCATGCATAATAATGCTCTAAATGAGTTCCACTTCAAAATCAGCTTTCATGGACTTAAATATGGTCCATGCCTCTCCGACCAAACCAGCATGTCTACAGGCAAAAGAACACCTAAAAGGTGACCTCATTGGCTTCAATCCTGATTGTATCATCTCATTAAAAAATGTAATAGCTTCCTTTGGTTTTCCATTCTGCCACACCCTACAATGTCCCCAGTCCAAGACACAATGTCTCTTTCTGGCATATATTAAACAATGCTAAACCAGCCTCAATTGACCACACTTTAAATACATATCAATAAGGACGTTAAGACTTCCTCTGTGTTGAATCCACTCTTAACACACAGTGTATGAACCTGCTTGCCACTTCCAAGAGATGCCAAACTGAACAAACCTTTAGAACACTTGAAATAACAAACTGGTCTACTTCAAGATCTGACGTACCATGTCCTGAACAGTGAAAATGCTAATGAGTTCAATCCCACTTTAGCACACCCATTATCAAACCAGACCAAGCTACTATCTTTCTTTGGAAGCTTGTGAAACAGACCCAACGCATTTTTTACATTTCCCAGTTTTGCATAAGGATCTAGGAGAATGCTTCCTACAACATAATCTAACTGATACCCACTAGTGACTATCAAACCATGCACTTGAAGCCCAAGTCTCAAGTTAGTAAGTTGATGCAGACTTCAAAGCACTACTAAAAGTGTAAGAATCATATACAGACCAGAGCTATGGATTTGTAAAGGAGACTCACAGCTGCTTCATTCTGTTCATTAATAGCATAGCCAGAAAGCATAGAATTCCAAAGTGCCAAGTTGTTAGAAGCCAAAGCATCGCAACTCAAGTATTGATCAAATAGCCTAACTGCTTCACTTAACACATTGCAATTTGAATACATGTCAACTAATGCCGAACAGTGAAACAACTATGTTCAAAACCTGACTTATAACATGACAATGAATCTGTTTCCCCATCTACAAACCAAGAGAACTGCATGCTTTTGACTACAGGGTATTGTGAACTCTCAAGGTCTAAACCTTCTTTATCATAACACACAATTCCAGCGCTTGCAAACTCCACTGTCGCCAAACCACAATTATATATTCCAGGACACAACATTCCTTGCTGGCATTTGATGAAACAAACTGATTGCCTCCTCTATCAAGCCTTCTTTACAATACCCTGAAATGATAGTATTCCAAGAGGTTGAATTCGCACTCAAAGCTTATCAAAAACTTTCCTTGCTCTCCCAACGTCCACATTTAACATACAGTCCAAAAGGGTATTCATCAAAACTGTGTGATTCTCTAAATTCTCTCTGAAATTCGTTTATGTATCAATCTACCCAGTTCAAGATCCTGCCACAAGCACATGCTTTTAAAACCGCAGAATACATAAACCCATTTGGCGCTTCTAATTAGACTCTAACATATACTCATATACTGATAGCTTTGTCAGTTCTTTTGTTACTTGTAAGCAAGACCATAGCGGTCCAGGTAACAATATTCTGTCCGGTATTTCATCGAACAGGGGCATTAATTCCACATTGGGCATATAAATTCAGAAGTGTGTAACAGCAAGGAGTAATGGTGCTTGTTTAATATCTAGGAACAAAATTATCAGAAAGATAACAAAATTGTATTGTTTAGACATTGACGCACCTTGAGTTTTACAATCTTGGATACATTTACAAGACAGTGGACGTGTTAATATGTAAGATGGGGTTGATTATTACAGTTTTGAAATTGCCTTGAAAATGGAAGATGCTTTTGTTCCTTTCCCTTTCAATTTAATTTTACATGAAATAGACAAATAAACGACCATGACTGGGAAATTAAACTAGTCGCAGAGATTGTTGGAGAAGAAGAAGAAGAAAAGGGGTAAAGCCAGAAGGCAAGTTGATCTTCTTGTCCCATGTACATGAGGTCCCTTTGCTTTTGTTGAATCCCTCACCAAAGTCCAAGATCATATATTTTTGTCTCTTTTTTTAATTATAAACTCCTTATTTCACACGCTTCTCTTACCAAGATTTCCAAGAAATTTAATAAACACAGGCTCACGCCACGATGTAAAAGTGAAATCTACTTTCAGTTTATCTCTTTAATACATAATTATGACGCATAAATCTCATGTTTTTCATCCAATTAATTACCCAATATGATACCTATGGTATCACAATGACAACGTTTACAACATGGAGTAGTACCGTCAGTGAATTCCAGCACAAAAATTGGTTGTTGTACATCATTCTACATTCATGTTTAAAACGATCTTCCTCTTCAGAGGTCAAACTCAATGATTTAACCTAGCCATCCGTAACTTGAATATTTTATGAAATAGTGAGATAATGGGTTCAACTAAACAAAGACTTAATGCCTTGTCGTAATCACTGAAGTTACCGCAGTGAAGGACTGAGCTTATAATTCAAATGGTGGGTGAAAGCTCTGGAAATTGCAGAGGCTAGTGCCAAATGGGACAGCGAGCATGCTTAGTGTTTGTTCTCTGGGCTCCTTTTGTAGCCTGTATTATTTAACGGTCGCGCATGAGTTATTGAAATTTATGGGTACATTTGATTTGCCGCCTAGATTCTGCCATTTCTTGACTCTTGTTTTGTACTCATTGCCTCATGATTTGAGGTTTCTTGATCTTCGTTAAAGCTAGTTAAGCAACAAGGCATGGGCTTGAGAAGCACTACGTATCCTAAATTATTAAACAATTTCCTCCATTAATTCTTGGAAATTTAAAAGAATCCATAAATGGGATGCATGGATTCCACATAAGCAAATCTACGGGTAATCCGGTTTGGCCATGTAATCAATGTCATTACTCATTAGTCAACATTTCGCTAGTAAAATGATGACTCAGCTTTCGCGCCAGAAGGAATTTTTTTTTAATACAAGTCTGGTGTATGCTGTAGCTTTTGTGCAGTGGTTACAGTTTACAGTCATTGGAAAGAGTAAAAAGAAAGAAATACACATGCTGGAAAGAGGAAAACACTATTCATAATGAGGACATTGGGGAAGAAAAGAGAGTGTTGGTGAAATGATTGAAGAAGAAAGCAACGTAGTATGAGAAAGACTGAAAGTCTGGTTGTAAAAATAGGCAACTACCACAAGCGTGGTAGTGTCTCAAGATTGGGCTCTGCATTAACAGTGATAAAGATAAAGAGGTGGTGGTGGGTGGGGTTGCCGGGCTACCACGACTATCTGAATAAGGTGGAGCCTACCCACGTTGCTTTGTTGACACGTCCTAATTTTTGAGTCTAGACCAGAAGTCGACTCAATCCTATCACCATCTTATCTTCTGTGTTAAAAGGATATTTATTGCTTGAGACAAACGAAAAATTATGCAAAAAATTTAGGGCTTAGAGAAAGCTTGTCTAGATGAATGGGAGTAGAGCTACCCTTAAGGTAACTGCTGCTGGAAAGTCAAACTATAGACCGAAGGATGTGAAACTAGTAAATATCTTTTTTTATTTATTTACTTTTTTTTTCGTGACAATTAGTGTTCAGGTCAATTTATTCGTATTTCAACGAATTCTTCATACTCTAAAGTTGACGATAAAATAAACCCTTCAGTAATCACCTCTATTCTCATCTACGGAAACTCAAACTCATGAATTCGTATTTCAACGAATTCTTCATACTCTAAAGTTGACGACAAAATAAACCCTTCAGTAATCACCTCTATTCTCATCTACGGAAACTCAAACTCATGAATTCGTATTTCAACGAATTCTTCATACTCTAAAGTTGACGACAAGATAAACCTTTCAGTAATCACCTCTATTCTCATCTATGGAAACTCAAACTCATGAAACTCCTTTTTACACTCTTTTACCATGAAGACAATATGATGGTTAATATCTTTACTTTTATTGTCATTTTTAATCTTCACTCGCAAATTTTAAGTTCTTCTGGAAAGAGGGTGGAACACATTGCAGATCAAATACATGCCCATTTTGTAAGAGGGAGAGATGCAGATGGTTGGGGCAGGGTAAAATCCATAAAATTGATTCTCATTTCTTGCCCATAGATTAATCACATGGTTACATTACATACAAAAAAAGAACTATTTATTCGTGTAGTGTATTCACTTCGACACACTGTTTTTCTTTTTGTTGTTCTCTCGACTCTCTTCTGGCACAAAAATGAATTGCAGATAGCAGTCTTTAACGGGGCTGTAAAGAGTAATCAACCTGAGGCACCATTGACAAACCACCATGTAGAAACGAATCAATCATGAAAATAACAATTAAAAAAAGAACCACGAAAAGATATAGGAGAGAGAGGTACTGCATCTAGAACTAGTTGGACTTTTGAATTAGAAGCAAGCAAATAGATGAAAGCTCCAATAATACCACGGAAAAGTCTCTAACCTTAATAATTTTGTCCTACATGCGTGAGGTGGGAATGGATGATATGTGTCAACCAAGTCAAATATAACTATGAAGAATCGTCAAACCATCACCATTCCTAATCTCCTTTTTAGACCTTCAGCATATCTTTTTTTTCTTTAGTTAGTCTCTCATTCCCTTCTCAAATTCTTCACTTTTACAATTATGGATCCTGTTCACGAGAAAGCAGGAAAATGGAGCTCAGCAACTTCGTTTGCAAATCAAATATTCACACATGCACACACAACATTCAAGAAACAAAGTAGCAGGCAAAGCAAAGTACAGCTCATTCATTCTCTAAATTCCAATTTATAGGTCCAAAATCCAGCGGCTCAATAAAAATTCCATTGATTTCCCTTCAGGAATTTTCAAGCGTGGTAAATGTCACTGCTATCTTTCAGGAGCTACCAAGGGCAATGTTTAATTCAGTGGTTGGTAGTTCAACTGCTTGGCAGTGTTTGTGTCCAACTATTGGGGCAAATTCATATTCAGGAATTCCGCCAGTGTCAGAATGAAACTCATACAAACCAAATAGTAGGGTTGTTAATTGTAATATATCATTTTTAGAATCAGGAGTCGATATATAGTATAACATCATGAAAGACATTTTTCAACTAACACTGCAAAAGCAACATCTAAACATGGAATACACCAAAAACATGGGAAAGGGATAGGAAATAGAAGGGTAATTTCCACAATTAAATTTAGACCTTGAAAGAAGGTTCTATGAGAATTTAAGCTTTCCTCCCATAAATAGTCAACAATGCACCATATTTTAACCATAGATTAGTTGATGTTACTAATAAGCCATAGTATTAAAGCTAACTAAGCCAAAAATGATGCAGCCAAATGTATCAACAGCCAACACATAAACAGGATATAACTTGAACAAGAAAGGTTAAGTACGATAAGGATGGAAACTAATGCCACAAGTGCAGAAAATTAATAAACTGAAATGCAACATCTCTTATTCTTGTTAGACTTTGATAGCAGTGGTTACCTTCTAAGTGAGATCCTCCAGATATCAAATGCAGCAGGATGTTTCTGCATCTAAAGATTTCCATTAGCTCCAAACCTATTCTTTAGCTTGTAGTATTTAACCTAATGACTTAATTTCAAACGTTTGACAATATGCAGTTGCTTAATGCAATGTATAGGGGGATTTCTTAACTTGAAATCTCAATCCAGCTCATTCCTGCCTCTTTTGTGCCCAGTTTCTTACCAGCATTCCTCACTTTGCTTAAACTATCCCACATTTCCAATTCAGCATAAACGTTTGAAAGCATCACATATATGGAAGGGTCTTCTGGTGATGCTGCAATTAGTTGTTCAGCAACAACACCAACCAGTTCAATATTCTTGTAAATTCCACAGGCCTTGAGCATGGAGCTCCAAATTGTTTTGTCAGGCTCAAATGGCATGTCAGCAATCAGTTTCCTTGCCTCTTGGAGGCATCCAGCTTGACCAAGAAGATCAACCATGCAATAATAATGCTCTAAATGAGGTTCCACTTCAAAATCAGCTTTCATGGACTTAAATATGGTCCATGCCTCTCCGACCAAACCAGCATGTCTACAGGCAGAAAGAACACCTAGAAAGGTGACCTCATTTGGCTTCAATCCTGATTGTATCATCTCATTAAAAAATGTAATAGCTTCCTTTGGTCTTCCATTCTGCCCACACCCTACAATGATCCCAGTCCAAGACACAATGTCTCTTTCTGGCATATAGTTAAACAATGCTAAACCAGCCTCAATTTGACCACACTTTAAATACATATCAATAAGCGACGTTAATGTAACTTCCTCTGTGTTGAATCCACTCTTAACACACAGTGTATGAACCTGCTTGCCACTTCCAAGAGATGCCAAACTTGAACAAACCTTTAGAACACTTGAAATAACAAACTGGTCTACTTCAAGATCTGAACGTACCATGTCTCTGAACAGTGAAAATGCTAATGAGTTCAATCCCACTTTAGCACACCCCATTATCAAACCAGACCAAGCTACAATATCTTTCTTTGGAAGCTTGTGAAACAGACCCAACGCATTTTTTACATTTCCCAGTTTTGCATAGAGATCTAGGAGAATGCTTCCTACAACATAATCTAACTGATACCCACTAGTGACTATCAAACCATGCACTTGAAGCCCAAGTCTCAAGTTAAGTAAGTTGATGCAGACTTTCAAAGCACTACTAAAAGTGTAAGAATCACTATACAGACCAGAGCTATGGATTTGTAAAAGGAGACTCACAGCTGCTTCATTCTGTTCATTAATAGCATAGCCAGAAAGCATAGAATTCCAAAGTGCCAAGTTGTTAGAAGCCAAAGCATCGCAACTCAAGTATTGATCAAATAACCTAACTGCTTCACTTAACACATTGCAATTTGAATACATGTCAACTAATGCCGAAACAGTGAAACAACTATGTTCAAAACCTGACTTAATAACATGACAATGAATCTGTTTCCCCATATCTAACAAACCAAGAGAACTGCATGCTTTTAGACTACAGGGTATTGTGAACTCATCAAGGTCTAAACCTTCTTTATGCATCATACACACAAATTCCAGCGCTTGCAAACTTCCACTGTCGGCCAAACCAGCAATTATAGTATTCCAGGACACAACATTCCTTGCTGGNATAATAATGCTCTAAATGAGGTTCCACTTCAAAATCAGCTTTCATGGACTTAAATATGGTCCATGCCTCTCCGACCAAACCAGCATGTCTACAGGCAGAAAGAACACCTAGAAAGGTGACCTCATTTGGCTTCAATCCTGATTGTATCATCTCATTAAAAAATGTAATAGCTTCCTTTGGTATTCCATTCTGCCCACACCCTACAATGATCCCAGTCCAAGACACAATGTCTCTTTCTGGCATATAGTTAAACAATGCTAAACCAGCCTCAATTTGACCACACTTTAAATACATATCAATAAGAGACGTTAAAGTAACTTCCTCTGTGTTGAATCCACTCTTAACACACAGTGTATGAACCTGCTTGCCACTTCCAAGAGATGCCAAACTTGAACAAACCTTTAGAACACTTGAAATAACAAACTGGTCTACTTCAAGATCTGAACGTACCATGTCTCTGAACAGTGAAAATGCTAATGAGTTCAATCCCACTTTAGCACACCCCATTATCAAACCAGACCAAGCTACAATATCTTTCTTTGGAAGCTTGTGAAACAGACCCAACGCATTTTTTACATTTCCCAGTTTTGCATAGAGATCTATGAGAATGCTTCCTACAACATAATCTAACTGATACCCACTAGTGACTATCAAACCATGCACTTGAAGCCCAAGTCTCAAGTTAAGTAAGTTGATGCAGACCTTCAAAGCACTACTAAAAGTGTAAGAATCAATATACAGACCAGAGCTATGGATTTGTAAAAGGAGACTCACAGCTGCTTCATTCTGTTCATTAATAGCATAGCCAGAAAGCATAGAATTCCAAAGTGCCAAGTTGTTAGAAGCCAAAGCATCGCAACTCAAGTATTGATCAAATAGCCTAACTGCTTCACTTAACACATTGCAATTTGAATACATGTCAACTAATGCCGAAACAGTGAAACAACTATGTTCAAAACCTGACTTAATAACATGACAATGAATCTGTTTCCCCATATCTAACAAACCAAGAGAACTGCATGCTTTTAGACTACAGGGTATTGTGAACTCGTCAAGGTCTAAACCTTCCTTATGCATCATACACACAAATTCCAGCGCTTGCAAACTTCCACTGTCCGCCAAACCAGCAATTATACTATTCCAGGACACAACATTCCTTGCTGGCATTTGATGAAACAAACTGATTGCCTCCTCTATCAAGCCTTCTTTACAATACCCTGAAATGATAGTATTCCAAGAGGTTGAATTCGCACTCAAAAGCTTATCAAAAACTTTCCTTGCATCTCCCAAACGTCCACATTTAACATACATGTCCAAAAGGGTATTCATCAAAACTGTGTCATTCTCTAAATTCTCTCTAGAAAATCGTTTATGTATCAATCTACCCAGTTCAAGATATCCTGCCACAGCACATGCTTTTAAAACCGCAGAATACATAAACCCATTTGGCGCTTCTAATTTAGACTCTAACATATACTCATATAATCTGATAGCTTTGTCAGGTCTTTTGTTACTTGTATAAGCAGAGACCATAGCGGTCCAGGTAACAATATTCTTGTCCGGTATTTCATCGAACAGTTTCTGTGCGTCGTTTAAAAAGGTGAAGTCTACGTACATCGAGAGCAAATTGTTGGCAACGAAGATATTGTGAGAAAACCCATGTTTGATTACATAAGAGTGAAGTGATTTCCCTTGTTTGATAGATTGAATTCGACCACAGTGGCGCAAGGCTACCATGATATGTTTCAAGCCCATGGCTGTCCATGATAGATGAGAGCTCATAGGCTGTCATCAAAAGTTTTCAGTGCATTGCAATACCGAATAAAAAACGTTAAGCAGCGAGTATAGTACGGTGAGGTAAGTCTATACTCGTTTTCAATAAACTTTACAACAAGATAATACTATAATAGGGTTTAAAATTTAAGTTTTTAAAAAATTAAGGGTGCGTTTGGTTATTATTTTGGATAGGATTTTTTTGAATAATATTATATAGTCGAGTAAGGTTATGATTACGAGAATATGATTTAAAAAATATGTGTTTGGTAGAATATTTTTACCTTGATATTTATGTTAAATATTTGATTGATATATTTTTTATATAAATGATTTATTAATATAATATTTTGGTGGATTTTGTTAAAATAATGTATTATTATATATATAACTTATCAATTTACATTTTAATAATATTAAACATTTTATTGGTAATTTTGTCACCAGTAAATATTAAAAAACAAAAACTTATATTAATTTCAAGTACTAATCCAACTGTTTAAAAACATCACATTAATACATATATGACAAAAGTACTAATTATCAACCCTTACAATCGTTCTTACACGTATACTCCATTAAAAACTACGACATGGTCCACTGTGCTGCCCACAGTGCGTTCGTTATGTTATCCCGTACAATCGTCATATTGTCTATAATTCCTTGCTGCGGTTGACTCGGTCCTTCTCCATTTCGGCCATCTTCTGCACCGTTTTGGTGATCACAATATACTTGCTCATTACCCGTATTTCCAGTATACTGTTCGAAGATAGGGTCCTCCATATTGTACATTCTGATATAATTATGAAGTACACAACATGCCATAACAATTTTCCCTTGTTTGTCTAACAGGTAATTGTTCATTCTATTCAGAATACGGAACCGTCTTTTCAAAACATCAAAGGTTCTCTCGACAACATTGTGCAGGGAAGCATGTCTGTAGTTAAACAACTCTTGTTGCCCCCTTCAGTTACGGCGGTGATCAAAAATATGGTAAGCCACTCGCCTATGAGGAGCGAGGAACCCCTCTCTATTTGGATAACCCGCATCAACCAAATAGCATTTCCCTATAATAAAATCATAAATGTTATTTGAATTACAAGGCCTCAACAGTGGAGCAAATACACTATAATACGTCAAGAAAATACTTATACCTAGTGGAGGATGTGGGAATCCAGAATTAGGATTATCAATAATTGAATTTAAAACTCTTGAATCATGCGCAGATCATTCCCATCCAGTAATGACATAAGTGAACAACATCTTAAAGTCACATGCAGCCATTACATTTTGTGACAACGTTCCTTTGCGATTCCGGTACCTATCAGCAAATTCATGTGGAACCAAAGCGTATACATGTGTGCCATCAATGGCTCCAATACAGTCCTATCATCAAAATTGAATTTTACTGATATTAACCGACTATGAACATGAATAACACAATGAACTTAACTATCCACTAATTGAAAACATAATGAACTAGTACCTTAAAGAAAGGGTAATATTTTCGATTGGCTGATATTTTCCTTGGAACCTCACTGAAGTCAGGTGGTCTGATAAACTCTGTCTGTAACTCACATATGGCCTTGCAAACTGTGCCAACATATCTAGAGATCGTCTCACTCGAATGTTGGAAATCCTCTATCATCGTTCTGATTGTCTTGGTTTTACCAACGATTGTTAGAAATATCATAACTTGTTCTTCTACACTCGTCCTCCTGGATGGTCGCAATATGTCTTGCTTTGACAAAATTTCACATAAGTATGTAAAACAGTCTTCGTTCATGCGACACTTGTCAAAGATCCTATCAGCATGACCATTAAGTACTTCCAACATGTACTCACGACCAGTTAATATGGATGTATGTCGTGGTTCACGCCCAATTGTTTCTAACGTGGCAACACCGCATAGTTCAATGGCTATATCTGTCAGTGTTTCTTCTTCGTCATCTGTAGAACATCGTCTTCTTCTTGTACGGTTAGACGATGTCATTTAAACCTGCACATTTGCAAAACATTGATCCACAATTAACAAAATATAACAGTCAATATTTAATTCTAATGACAATCTAAAACGGGGTTGAAACATGTAATATCACATAAAACAGTAGTACAATTAATAAGTTCATATAATAGTGTTATAAATTCTAATTGTAATGACAAATGCCCACTGACGCATACAAAAGGGTTAGCAAACACTTAGGAAATATAATGTCATCTACAAATTCGGAAAGTTTTTATAAATCCAGTTTGCCTTTTCCTTGGGCGGGAGTTTCACGAATATCTCCCGACACCTTAGATTTTCATACAAGTAGTTGACAACCAGGAGGTAAAACTGTGTGGGTACTTGCATGACCGTCATAATGTCAATACAATTGCTCATGGAAAACGGATCAAATGAACGACTGGTGTTCTCTTCGTCCCTCTCATCTGCACTGCGATTGCTAGCCCTCGTTCCCATAGTCAGCCTCTCCACAAGCTCGTCCATTAATCTATCAATGACAGTTGCAAGTGAGTGTCTCGGGCCACTTCGCCTGCTCCTATTTCTTGCTCTTCCATGGCCAGATGTGTTTGGCCATTTTTCACCTGTCATCCGATCTGGATCAGGTTCAAAGTCGTTATCATCCAGGGGAACCACGCCCTGATTGGAATAACTGGAGGTCTCCACTGGTTGAGATGTAGAGTTGTACGCATATCTCCCAGTGGCAGTTTGCTTCTCAAATATGATTTCATAAAGGTCCTTGTGAGGAAAGCCCTTGTGGTAGAATTGTTGCGCCAGTGGGTTTTGCTGGTAAAGCAAAAGAATAATATATTAATATTTGACAGTTCGAAAAAAAATATGTGTACAATTACGGCGTCGTTGATTAATATTAGTTTAAAAAGTTGAAAATTTACCTTCACATATTCTTGCCAAACCTCTACGGGACACGTTGGACATTACGACTCATGATCCCACCCGAACCCCGTGTGTTGTAGCAATTTCCGTAATGCGTGATATAGTCTTCGTAGGCGAAAGTACTTAGATGTTAGTTATGTGACGTTGAGTCTCCTCCCAGCCACTGATGATATGTCGTCCAACATTTCTTGGTAATCTGCTATTTTAATTGAAATACTGTGCGCAGTTTTCGCCTGCTCAGACAACAGGATTAGAAATTTGTGGGTCATCTCAGCAGACCAGTTCATGTTATCACCCATCTAAGGACAGTACGGTGAGAACGAAAACTAACATTGGGACACCATACGAATCACCAATCACATTACAAACAGACATACACACATGTAAACGTAATCAAGTAAACACAGATAAACTTATACCTTATTCGATCCGACACTGCTTAAAGACGTCAATGAAGGGGAAGATACAGACAATGTCGACCAACAGGGTGTATGACGAACTCCAAGTCTAGAAAAACGTCGAAACTTACGCCTCTGCTGCAAGTAGTAATAAATCCTGCGACGTCGGGACAAATTATACTGACATTTGTGCATATGATCGTAATCTACAGAACAAATATATCAGTTAGTGAAATCCCAACAAATTATTTCCAATAATCAAATAATTTTTTACTCCCAAAATTTATCCATTACATACAGCATGTTACATAAACAACATATGAAACTGCATAATATTTTGACGCATGTGCTAAACATTGTAAGTAACATAGCACATGCTGTAACCGTTAAACCCCACAAACAAATCCATAGATCCAATTGTGCTCACGTGTAGATATCAGTTTCAGTCAACCAATTATAAAGCGCATAATTACAATCGAAATTAAAAAGATTAATGAAAAGAAAAAACAGTAATAACACAAATTATTTCCAATAAAATAAAAATGAGGAAAATTGCGTCTCAGGTGTCTTGAAACCTGAGACGCAATTTGTAAATTGATTAACAAAGGAGTTTATGTCTAAAAATGTACAAATTACACCGAACACTTTCCATATGATAAGTCAATGAACAAATCAACAAAAGAAAACACAAATTAAAAGTACAACAAACCCCATGATTTACCTCTACAGTATAACCTAACATACATCAAGTGGATGACACGTGGAGATTAAAAAGGAAGCAATTGATCTCACATGGCCTTCATCTTGTGTATCACATTCCCATACTTGGTAACACAGATCTAAGACCAACACACACCAAAACAATAACAAATACCTGTGATTGCTTTTTATTGTCACATTTATTCACATTTCTTCTAATCTATGCCTCGTCCACCAAACTATGAGTTTCAAGAATGGTGGAACAAGCAAAGAGACAATGGTCACGAACGGTGGTGGGTGGGTTTCGCAAAAAAACTGACGTGGGACAGATCTGGTGGTGTGAGGTGGTTCACGGTGGTGGGTGGGTTTCGCAAAAAAACTATCGTGGGACAGGTCTGGTGGTGTGGGGTGGTTCACGGTGGTTGACGGTGAATGTGGTGGTGTGGGGTGGTTCACGGTGGTGGGTGGTTGACGGTGAATGTGCGACAGATCTAGTGGTGTGTGGTTCACGGTGTGAAGAAAACTGAGAAAATGAAGTTGGATGCATTATGTTTGGTATTTGCAAGTGGAGAAGAAGTTGGATGGAAGAAGAAGAAGTTTGTAAACGTGGTGAAGCACTGATGCAGTGAAGAAGACTGAGAAAATGAAAAAAAAAAATGAGAAAGAGAAAAAAAAAACTGCAAAAAGTCTTAACGGTAAAAAAAAAAAAAAGATGAAGAAGTTATGTTTGGTATTTGCAAGTGGAGAAGAAGTTGGATGGAAGAAGAAGAAGTTTGTAAACGTGGTGAAGCACTCAGGCTCGGCTCAAGGGGTAGGCAAGTGAGGCACCTGCCTAGGGCCCCCCAAAAATAGGGGCCCAAATTTTTTATAATTGTTTTTTAATATATTTAAAAACGAAAATGGTGAATGATTTTTTATCCAGTCCAAGGGGCAAAAAAAAAAAAAAAAAAAAGAAGCCAAAAAGGCCCAAATTTATTATAAACTTTTTATATATATTCCCACCCAAAGTTTGACAAAAT